TCTTCGCATTTATATTGTGTCTTTCCTGTTAGTTAACTGTCCCGTGAGACCATTTATATATATATATATATATTTATAAATATAAAAATAAATGTGGCAGTGTTAAATGTAGGCGCTTTAGGAACAAAGGAACTGTGTGGTACAGTAACATCAGGTCAGTGAAGTTACACTGCTGTGTGCAATCGGCTGCTGGTTTTGCCCACAAATATACAGTCAATTCACTTTAAAGTATTATTTAAGATGCGCTTTGAGACGTCTCGAAGACGTGAAAAGCTCTATGTCAATTGCAAGGATTATTATTGATCCCCATTATCATCTCGTTGAGAGATATAACAATACCTGACACACAATAAAATGGAACTTAGCTATTGACGCTCAGAAAGATCAGAGTAGGACTGTGCTAACTTGACTAATTGTCTAACCTCTCACAAGGCCCAACATGTCATCTGCATTTATCCTTAAACCCATTTTAACAATAGTGTGACTGTGAATTTGTAGGCACATTGGCAGCCAATTTTGTGTTCAGCCATGAAGTGGATGACCAATTTTTTTTATTTGGAGGATTGATAGCCTGGACACCAGGAGAGAGAAACTCCCTTCTCTTTTCAAGTTGTGCCACGGCATCGTTAACATCCACCTGAACGGGCAGACAGACGCCCGGGACCTCGGTGTATGATGTCTCAATCCATTATTTTACATTTTTTAAAAAGTTGGTGCAGAATTTTCAAAGTAAGACTGGATTTAAGTTCTAAATGCTGAAGAGAACATAAGAATTTGTTAGAAGAAAGAAGACCGTCCAGTTTGCCTTCCACCATCCTGGCAGTCGCCTGTCAGTGTCCCAAACTATATATTTGTATCCACAGATATTATTTTGTAGCAGAAATCTAATCTAATTTGTTCTTGAAAGAATCGATATGAGATGTTATGAGTGTTTTAAACAATAATAAACTACTGAAGACACAGGAGAGAAGAAAGTCTATTTCCTTTAATTAGGGAATTGGTAACAGATAATTAGGGGACAGATTGAGATAAATTTCTTCAGATTGCTGTTACGGTTTAGAATAACATGGTTAATAGTTATTAAGGCTGCATTAATTGAATCCTTGGGACGGTACCTGAATAAATTCTGAGCCATACAGATCATTAAGCACTTCGGAGAGTGAGGCTAATTATGCAACACAAATTGACTTTTATATAGAGTTGTGCTTTTCACGGCAGGATGTCTCCCAATATGCTTTAATTATATATTTTTTTAAGAAAAATCACTTAAAAATGCACAGTTACAACATTAACATCAGTTTACATTTACACAGTTTCACATCGGGAGGATGTCTCAAAACGCTGGACCAAGCCCATGGTCAGGGATTTGGACCCGAGCTGGTGGTCGGGATCAGGAGAAAGGGAGGATGGGGTGGCCAAAGGCACGGGCGATGAGGAGGGTCTTGAGGCGTGCCTTGAATTTAATTTAACATGTTACTTAACATGTTGGATAAAAGCTTCCTTCTGTGCAGAAAACTTCCTTGGATTTCGCACGTACAGCACTAATGCAAAATTGGGAGATGTTTTGGGCTGGAGGGGGAGGGAAATCACATGCACATTTAATGCAGAAGTTAATGGTCTAAGTCTTCCCTCCCTCCTCAGCGGGCTCTGGCTTGCTCCATTCCCCCGGACTGCCCATCCCATCTTCAGGCTTCCTTTTTGACCATGCCTTCAGTCCACCTTCCACCTCTCTTAACTCTAGCTCGGATGCAAACCAATGACTGTCCAGTGCCTTGAGACATCCTCCCATCATAAAAAGCGCTGTGTAAATGCATGTAGTTGTTGTTGTCTTGTGGTCAGAGCTTTGCACCTGTCTCTGTGCTGCTCCAGTGTATAATAGTGTGTTTTATCTTCTTTTTGTCCAGGATGACCCCAGTCAGAGCAAGAGATCTCCCTCATCACCACAAGGTGGGCCCAAGAAGAGATCAGCGTTTGGAGACATTACAAACGTAAGGACTCCGTGCGCTCTGCTCCGTACTGCTACAGACTCTCTGCCCCTCAGTGTGTGTGGGGTGGGTGGTGGGGGGGTGCGCGGGGGAATTGGGTGCTGTCGCCTCTTGGAGAAAGAGGGTGTAGAATAGAGAGCGGGAAGGGGAGGGTGGATGGGGTCTTGAGCATAGGGGGCGGCTTAAGACGTCCTCGTGAAGTGAAAGGAGCAATATAAACGCAGTGAAGTGCATTAGGGAAAGCCATACACGAGGGACGAGTCTGGCAGAGAGACTGCGAGGCGACATGGGTTACCCTTACGGGAGGGGGTGGGAGGGGTGAAGGTCACTCCAGAGCTGCAGTTATTCCTTTCTATCAGTGCCATCTATAGTTTAGAGATACAGCAACAATAAATGACATATGTAAAGCGCCTTTCACGTCCGGAGGACGTCCCAAAGTGCTGGAATCCTAAAAGAAATATAATCCCAAAGGAAGGAGGAATGGTGGAATCTTTAGCTGTTACCTTGGTTTGAGTGTTGCAGGTTGTGTGTAAATCGGGGCTGTGTTTTCTCCCTGCACCAGGCGAAGCAGAACCCAGCGATTGTGACCAGGAAATCAGCCGGCAAAAAACCTGAAAGCACCGTCACCCAGGAGGTGTCCAAAAATACCGCAAATCTTCCCAAAAGGTAAGTGTTTTTCTACTTGTGATCCTATGGAGTACTGTAGCTCAGTGGTTAGAGTGCTCGCCTTGCAAGCGAGAGGACCTGGGTTCGATTCCTGGGCAGGGCGACACCTTGGGCAAGTTTCGTTACCTCAACGCCACTGTTTACCCAGCAGTAAGTAGGAACCCGGTTGTTCGTCGATTGGCGCATCGCTTTCCGGGGGTAATAATCCCTTTTATATAAAAAAAATCCATTGAATCCGCCACCGTTTGTGGACATTGCTGGGCGTAATTGGCTGCTGCATTTCACCCAAAGAACAGTCACTCCACTTTACAATATATCCTGTAAAGCGCTTAGAGACGTCTCAGCTACGTGATAAGGCGCTGTATCAAATGCAGGGATTATTAGATGAGTTCAGTTTCTTTTACAACACGTTTTTTCAATTAGTTCTGGGCGCAAAGCCCTCCTGGACAATGGTCCTGAGCAGAAGGAAAAGAGGAGCAGGCCGGTTGTGGACAAGGAGAACCGGGTACAAGTGCCGGCTGAGCCCAGCGCAGTGACAACACCAAAGAAGGAACCAGAGCTGCAGGTAAAGTCCTGCAGGGAAGAATGCAGCATTTCACTTTTCAAAATACTCAGTCACTACACTTTAGAGTATATTCTGTGAAGCGCTTTGTGACATCTCGAAGACGTGATGGACAACTATATCGAAAGAAAAGATTATTATTGCTCTAGCCTGTACAGCTGTGGGCTGCTGTTGTTTGATATTCATATGCAGTTTCCCTTCCCAGTTCCCAAATGGAGATTCCTAGCATTTGACATGCAGATGTCTGGCAATAGTGTGACAGACTGGCGTTATGGCTGATTAAACGTGTGACCGACACCCGGTAGCTGTTGCTTACTGTAGGAGAATTCACTGAGCCCTGTTCTGTCTAGATTCCTGCTTATGATGATGTTGATGAAGAAAACCTGAACGACCCATTCCTGAACGCATTGTACGCCAAGGATATCTTCAACTACATGAAGGAGCGAGAGGTGAGGGATCCATCCCTAACCCCCACCCACCACGACAGCCATATTCTCTGACGACCACAATACATATGGTTCTGTGTTCTTTCCACTATTCATTGTTTTAACGAGAGAACCGGTGGGGAGACGAGGAGAAATGTTTTTACACCGAGAGTTGTTACGGTCTGCAATCCACGGCCTGAAAGGTGGAAGGCGATTGAATAACAACTTTCCGAAAGGGAATTAGATACGTGCTTGAAGAGGAAAAACTTGCATGGCTATGGGGAAGGAGCGGGGGAGTGGGACTAGTTGGCAGCTCTTTCAAAGGCCGAATGGTCTCCTTCTGTGCTGTAAGATACTATGATCCTAACTATTACTAACAGTGCTGCCGCACGTGACCGGCATTGGGTCGTCGCGACCCGATCCCATGCAGTGTCCCGGGCGTCCTGAGCCTCCAGGCCTGACTCGACCCCGCGTGTGTCTCTTGACGTCTGCCCATGAGTCCGAGTGTGGTCCAGACTCGAGCCGTGGGACAGCTGACCAGCGAGTCCGAGAGCCCAGCGCGCACTCGTGTGCAAAGAGAGAGTGATGTCTCCTCGCTGTGTGTCTGCACATCGAGTATCTGGTCTGAGCCCACACTGCGCTGCTCCTAACACGGTTAGACCAGAGTATTCCGAGACCCCGGGGCTGGCACCTGCGTACTTCACCAGTGAGCATTCACAGCTGCAGCAGAACAGCCTTTTTTTTCTATTTGTGTGGGAGCTGACCGGCTCAGGATACAAGTTGACTGGTAATGCACTATCGTGTCTCATTGTAGCACAGGGTGGGGTTTTTTGGAGCCCAAACACAGCTCTGTGTGGCAGGGCAGCCCTGTCTGTACCTGTTGAGCTAACACTGTGACGTGGTGGAACTCGAATTTAACAGTGCAGGTGTGAGTTTTGCACAGTGCCTCCTGATAACCAGGATTGCACAGAAAGTGGACTTGAAGAACTGAAAAACCTCAGGAACTCCATCCCAGAGCACCTCCCTCCCTTCCTCCCTCCTTCAAGGCTCGACTCGAGACTTTCCTGTTTGATTGTGCTTTCTGCCACCCTCCCACCCCCTCTACCCCCCACCCCTCTTGATTCCAACCCCCAGTTGGGGTGCAAACCCATAACTGTCCAGCGCCTTGGGACATCCTTCTAACGTGAAAGGTCCTGTATGTAAATGTCATGTTGTTGTTGAAGTGTTCTAACTTCTGGTTGGTGTGGGCTGCTTTGATGTATGGTCTCAGGAGATGGCCCAGGACCATCCACTGCTGAGTTTGCTGATTGATTTGGAACTTGATCCCGACCTGCAGTTCCTGTGACTTCATTCTAACCACTGTCGCTCTCTCCGTGCCCGGCAGGAGATGTTTGTGCTGAAGGGATACATGGAAAAGCAGCCAGATCTGAACATTGAGATGAGGGCAATCCTGGTGGACTGGATGGTGGAGGTGCAGGTGAGATCGTCAACCTTACACCACACTCGATGGTTGCAGGGTGAAGGGACTAACAACAACAACAACAACAAGATTCCATTTAAAAAGCGCCTTTCACGTCCCAAGGCGCTGCACAGTTGGGTCATGACCCGAGCAGGGGGGAAATGGTCAGGGTGAGGGAAGGGAAGGGAGGGAGCGAGGAGGGGGGAAATGGTCAGGGTGAGGGGAGGGAGCGAGGAGGGGGAAGAGAGTCGAGAGGGGAGCTGAAGGCACGGTCAAAGAGAAATACTTCTATTATCCATCCGGCATCTTTCTTCAACTCACTTAAAACAGGATGGTCCAACCTCTGGGCTGCTGAGGGCCGGATGCCCTATTTGAGAAACATCCGTGGGCCGCATAAGCAATATTTTTCTGTTTCCTTTCAGAAACTTAACATAACGTTAAACGGGTTATGAAGGGGGCAGGTGGGCCAGGTTAAATGGACTGGATGGGGCGGGGAGGGAGAGGGTGTGTGGATGAAAACTGACTTACAACAATGATTTCAAACCGCACAAATTGAAACAATTCAATTACTGAAAACAACTGGAAATTATCTGGGGCCCATTTGGAGCTCTTCACAGGGCAGGGCTGTGTGCTGGGGGTGGGAGTGGACGTTAAGGTAGGCTTTCGGGTGGGATTTAAAAACAGATAGGAAGTAGGAGAGAGGAGGTGGACTTTTTTTTCTCTGCATGGGTCAGACATCTGTCTGTCAAAAATGTGCTCTCCTGCAGGTGCCTGATTTATTATTGCCTTTTTCTCTCTCTCTCCCTCTCTCCCCCGCCCCTCCCTCCCTGTCAATACTGGGGGAGTTTGATCTGAAGAGCTTGTTAAGAACATAAGCATTTGCTAGACAAAAGAAGACCAAGGTCCATCTAGTTCGCCTTCCACCAACCGTTCCTTGCGCAGTCACTTGACATATTGTATCCCAAATTATATCCTGAGATATTATTTTCTAGCAGAAATCTATCTAATTTGTTCTTGAAACAAACAACACTTTCTGTTTCTACTGTCTCCCTAGGGAACCTGTTCCATACGTTTACTGTTTGTTTGTTTCTCTCAGGAGAACTTTGAGCTGAACCACGAGACTCTATACCTGGCTGTGAAGCTGGTGGATCACTTCCTGGCCACCACCATGTGCCTGAAGGAGAACCTGCAGCTGCTGGGCTCCACCGCCATCCTCCTGGCAGCCAAGTTCGATGTAGGTCCTTCCTCTCCAACAGCTGCCAAACCAACCTCTTGTGTCTGGGTGGGGGCGGCGGGGGGCGCTGGGGGGGACAGGTGGATGTTTAAAAGGTCATTTTGGCAAGATATTGCCTTGAAAATGGGAACAGGAGGAGGCCATTCAGCCTCTCAAGTCTGTTTCGCTATTCTATTAGATCATGGCTGATCTGCTGCGCCTCAACTCCATTTACTCGTCTTTGCTTCATATCCCTTGGTTCACTCAATCCACGACTGTTTGTGGGACACTGCTGTGCCATGTTTCACCCGCAAAATTTACAGTCAATTCACTTTACAGTATATTCCGTAAAGCGCTTTGAGACGTCACCAAGACATGATAAGGTGCTGTGTCAAATGAAAGGATTATTATTATTATTATTGCCCTTATCTAACAAAAATCTATCGATCTTAGTCTTAAAAATGAATTGATTCAGCATCCACAGCCTCTTACTGGGTCTGAATGAGTTGGGGGAGATGTATAGTGTGTTGAGAGGATTATCATGATGGCCGCTGCTAGCTGGTCTGGTGGGAAACTATGATATTGACTATAAATCCCTTCATGCCGCGGCACCTCCCTATCTCTCCGACTTCCTTACGCCCCGATCCGCTGCCTCCGTCCACTCAACTGGATCCGGCTTGTATGTCCCTTGTGCCCTCCCTTGCCCACTCTTCCCCTTTTTTAGATCACGGCTGAAGACCTTCCTACGAGACCGCGTTTACAGGCACCTCCTCCCTCCCCCCGGCTCGAGGTCAGGCTCCGACACTATTAAGCACTCTGAGAGGATGCTTCGAGTGAAGGGCGCTGTGTAAACGCAGTGTTGTGGTGGTCTCTAGCTGTGACGTGCTGTTTTACAGGAGCGCTGCCCGCCTTGTGTGGATGACTTCCTGTACATCTGTGACGATGCGTACCAGAGGGAGGAGCTGCTCTCCATGGAGGTCAACATCCTGAAGACACTGAAGTTTGACATCAACATCCCAGTGGCCTATCGCTTCCTCAGGAGATACGCCAAGGTGAGCGGCTTCAGGACTCCTCACACTGATATTCATAATAATAATAATCCTTGGGTTTGGAGTAGCCAATGTATAGTATACGTTTAAATATAATGTAGTATATTTTATAATATAGTGTATTTTGTAATATATTTTCACATCAGGAGCACTACACAGGATTTTACTGTGAAGTACTTTGAGACGTCCTGATGTGAAATATTTTTTTTTACTGCGATGTAGAGTGACTGCGGCCGAAACTCCCTTCTCTTTTCGAGCCGCACCGTGGGATCTTTATTGTCCACCCAGGTCAGAGCTCCTCAGTCTCTGCTGATCTCAGCTAAAATCACTGTTCAGGAGAAACGGCCTGAGTTGCCACTCCTGCTCTCTATTCGGTTCCCAAAGGCTCTGGGGTGGGAAGGTAGAGCCTGAAGTCACCTGAACTGTGTAACAGAATCATAGAATATTACAGCACAGAAAGAGGCCATTCGGCCCATCATGCCTGTGCCGGCTCTCTGGAAGAGCTACACAATCAGTCCCACTTCCCCCGCTCTTGTCCCATATCCTTGCAAATCTTTCTTTTTCAAGGCCTATCTAATTCCTTTTTGAAAGTTATCTTTGAGTCTGTTTCCCTCAGGCCTTCAGGCCATGCATTGCTGGATCAGGTGGATAGATGTTTGTTAGGTCGGGTTTCAAGGGATATGGAGCAAAGGCGTATAAATGTAGTTGAGGTACAGATCACCATGATTTAATAGCATGGCGGAACAGGCTCGAGGGGCTGAATGGTCTCCTCCTGTTCCTATGCACATAGTTTGATTCACAACGATGGGTTGTGGTCTCGGCTCTGTTAGTGCGATGGTCGGGAGTGAAGCTTTGCGGGTTAAATGGTGACTTCTGTGTGTTTGTGTGAGAAACGTTTCCCCTCCTGACGTGGATGTTGATGTCTGACAGTGCGGCAGAGCGAGCCTGGAGACGCTGACCCTCAGCCGCTACGTCTGTGAGCTGACCCTGCAGGAATACGGCTTCATCTGGGAGACAGCCTCCAAACTGGCTGCCTCCTGCCTGCTGCTGGCCCTTAAGATGAAGGGCCTGGGGGGATGGGTGAGTCATGTCCAGCACTTTCACGTGTGTAATAAAAACAGAAGTGGCTGGGAACACTCAGCAGGTCAGGCAGCATCTATGGAAAGAGGAAGATCTGTTAGTGTTTCAGCTCCATGACCTTTCCTCTCTCCATAGATGCTGCCTGACCTGCTGAGGGTTCCCAGCGACTTCTGTTTATATTTCAGATTTCCAGCATCTGCAATATTGTGCCTTTCACTTTCACACGTGTCTTGTTTTCTCTCTTCTCATTGATGTCTCATTTTACCATCTCTTTCTCTTTGAGTTGTCTCTTGACTTTAAGTCTATGTGACTTTCTTCACAATGTTCTCCCAGCTTTTAGCTACTCAGAAATGTTAGTTAAGCAGCTACCAATGTCTCAGTGATCGATGTCTTAACTTCTTCCTCTCCCCCTTACCCCCCTCCCCCCCCCCACTCCCACCCCGCACATAAGTTGTACTAGTCGGGACCATGACATTTAATATGATTGACACGACATCCGAGTTGCAGGCAAGCTTAGCTGTAAATCGTATAAAATCCGATTTAATCGATAATCTACACTGCGAATGTGTAATTCACTGCAGCCGGTAAGTGAGTATGCGGTGACGGGTCGGGGAATAATTTGTCACAATTCAATCTGTGCTGAGCTGACACCGCAGGCCCACTTACCGACAAGCGTTGGAATGAAATTAAATTTGAGTTGACGAATCAAGACTATGTTTCCCGTGATTCAATGCAGCCGGTAAGTGATGGACAGTAGGGGAGTGGCGTTGCAAGTTAGGAGATGATTAATACAACTAGTGCAAAGAAATCTGAATGGTTTGGGAGGAAACTGAATGGTACTCGGTTGAATATACGACTAAGGAGATTATACGATTTATGAAGATGACATGTGTGAGCTTTACTGTACTGAGGTCCTCTTGTCTGGGATCTGGGTGAGGTTTACAGTCTTGCAGGGAGTCGAGCTGCGCTGCTAATAACACCTGGAATTTGGCCTTTGTATTTCAGACTCCGACCCTGGAGCATTACACGGGATACAAGGTGGCTGATCTGCAATCACTAACCCGACGTCTGAATCTGTTACTTTACAACAGACCAAATGACAAGCTGAAGGCCGTGCGTTATAAGTACTCTCACAAGTAAGGGCTGCTGCATGGGACAGGCCACGGTTTGTATTCTGCTTGTGCAGTAGAACGGCACATATTCTTGGCTCAGTTGATAGCTGATTCCTGTGGAATCCTGTAGCTCAGTGGTTAGAGCACTCGCTTTGCAAGTGAGAGACCTGAGTTCAATTCCAGGCAGAGGGCGAAACCTTGGGCAAGTTTCCTTACTCCACACAGAGCCTAATAATAATCCCTCCAAAACCAAAAACAATAATAAATTGGTCATTTTCAATCTACAACTGTTTGTGGGACATTGCTGTGCGCAATTGGCTGCCACGTTCGCCCACAAATGTACAGTCAATTCACTTTACAGTGTGTTCTGTGAAGCGCTTTGGGACGTCCTCCCAACGTGAAAAGCGCTATAACAAATGCAAGGATTATTATTATAATAGCACACGGGCCTCTGGATGAGAAAGTTCTAGGTTTCCCTGTGCCAGGACAGTGTGAGTGGGGAAGGAGTGCTGCATTGTTAGAGGTGTGGGCACTCGGGTTGAGATGTTAACCAAGGTCCTATCTGCCTGTTCAGGTGGATGTTAAAGATCCTGGTAATCGATTCCTCCAGATAAATTAGTTATTTACTTTCATGGCTGTTGTTAGGATCTTTTTACTGCTGCAAGATTGGCTGCTGAGATCATAGAATCTTACAGCACAGAAGGAGGCCATTCGGCCCATTGTACCTGTCTGGTTCTTTGAAAGAACTGCCCAACTAGTCCCGCTCCCCTGCTCTTACCCCACACTATCTGGCAGGGCATTCCAAAAAAAATTCTCCACGTTTCCCCTCTGGTTCTTTTACCAATTATCTGGAATCTGTGTCCTTTGGTTACCGACACAACTGCCAGAGGAAACAGTTTCTCCATATCTTCTCTAATAATACTTGCACTTAACATAGTGCCTTGTATATATAAAATATATTTTATATTGGACCTTCCAGTTTTGGGCTTGGGATTTTCTTCGCATGACCTAAGTAAATATTAAATAAATATGTACTAAGTAAATAGTAAATGTACGGAACAGCCTCCCTAGGGAAACTGTAGAAGCAAAAAGTATTGATTCTTTCAAGCACAAATTAGACAGAATAGATAAATATCTTGGAATACAGTATATTGTTTGGGCCATTGACATGTCATGTGACTGCCAGGATGGTGGAAGGTGAACTGGATGGACCTTGGTCTTCTTTCGCCATCAAATTCTTATGTTTTTAGGTTCTTATCAAGTCTTTGAGACATCTGAAAGAGCTTCGCAGGATTTTACTGTAAAGTGCATTGACTGTGCATTTGTAGCTGAACATTGCAGCCAATTTGAACACAGCAATATCCCACAAACAACCAATCAAGTGAATGGCCAATTTTTGTTTGGGGGATTATTGGCTAGGACACTGGAAGAAACTCCCTTTGCTTTTCAAATAGTGCCACGGGATCTTTAATGTCCACCTGAACAGGCAGACGCAACCTCGACTGAACGTTTCATCTGAAGATGGGTTCTGGGTTCCGAATTGCCTGTGAAGCTATTTGAGATGTTTGGTCTCTGGAAGTGGAAAGCTGGGGGGAATAATTCTGCGAGTGTATCCAACAACAACAGTTTTTAGTTTAAAAGTGCTTTATGGAATTGAATTAGTTGAATGTCTGCAAATGGAGCAGGTCTTTTCCAGTCTGTGGTAAATCAGAATCCTCGTGGCTTCTCAGCCAGAAATGCTGAGACAAACCCCCCGATCCCTGTTCCGACTGAAGCTGGTCCCATTCCTGATCTGTTCTGATCACATCCGGAGCAGTGGTTGAGGCTAAAATTGTCCCTGGATTAGGGCCGGGGAAAAGCAGCCAGGGGCCTTGCTCCTAAGTCAGAACATGTGATTTGCTCCATCTCCCCTCCCCTTCCCCCCTCGCTATGTCGCAGCTAACACAGGAATGAGATATTGAGCCCTAGGAGTCTTTTTGGATAAAGAGGCATAATGCCTCTGGAGGGAAGAAAGTTAGTGAGAGGCGTGGAAGCCACAAAGCCAAGATGGGCAACTGCTGACGGCAAATTCAGGTGCTGTTCTGAGATAGCGCCTGTTACAAATTTATGCTTCTTCAAGTTCCATTCTCATTCCTCTCCTCTTCCCCCTCTCCTCACTCCCCTCTCCTCACTCCCCCACCTTCTTATCCTCTCTCACACTCTCTCTCGCTCTCCACTTCCCCTCTCCCCCAGCTTCTCATTTCCCCCTCTCTCTCCTCTTCCTTTCCCACTTCTATCTCTTCTCATCCCTTTCTTGCCCCTGCCCCCTTTCTCTCTCTGCAATGAGTTTAATTTCACTCTTTTCCTAATTAACAGAGTATTCTTTCAAGTGGCCAAAATCCCGCCAATGGATGTGCTGGAGCTGGAGGAGCAGCTGAGCTGTTGATGTGGATGTGCTGAGCTTTGCCGAAAGCCATATACTATAGTACACCACCAGCCCCACTGGCTTTGTACATAGTGTGTAAATACTTGCCATCGCTCAGTATCTCTGATGTATAATCTGTGACCTCTGCTAAAATGAAGCGATTGTGTAATTATTCCTAGAAAGGCCAATTATTATGAGGCAGCAAAAAAAAACTTTTAAGACTAACAAAACTCTAATTGTACTTTTGTTTTAAAAAAAATACTCTCTTCCTTGTTGCTGTCCTAAACTTGCGCCCCATGTAAAACAAACCCCACTCCCCTGTCAGATATTTCCTGGATCTCGTTTTGCTTTCGAAAAATGTACTATTGAACCTGCAAACGTTCCCAGTGTTTTTGCTGATCGTTAAATGTAAAAGACATTGTTTGTGTTAAGAGTTCCTTACTTTGTAGATTTTATTTTTGCATTTTTTAAAAAGTTTTTACAAAGAGGACAGAAGCTGCAAAGTGTGGAAACGTTGTGTTATTTGGGAAGTTTGTAGCTAAGTGGAAGATGTTTGCCGTTGGTGCCACAGGGAGAGAAACTTTTTCCCCTCGTTCCTGTTGATGCCCTTCTCAGTGTGTGGCACTGGCTTCCTCGTCACTATTTCCTCGTGCCCTCGGCCCCCGGACAGGACAGCCCTGTCGGGGTGACTTTCTCTGCCGGATTGATGGCCGAGAGTGAACTGACCAACAGCTCCTCCCAGTTCACGGCATCTCTCCAGCATCTTCCACGTCTGATAACTTTTTTTAAAAAAAAAATCCCAACTTTTTGGTGCAGGTTTGTAATTCGCACCTTTGATCTCTGTTTAATTGGGGGGAAAGTTAGTGAGAGGGGGAGCGCTGCTGACAGCGCAGGAAAGCGTCCCTTTCCCTGTTGAGCCCCAGAGCGCCCACTGACACCACCTTCTGTCTCCGAGCCGGTCATTGCTTCAGACACAGCAGCCTTTGGCTGCGGGAAGCTCTCAGCCATTCAAAGTTCCCAAATGTTGCATTGTTTGTGTTTCAAACTATTTTAAGATTTTGCGGATATGTTTTGTGTATTTATAAATAACTTTAAAGAAGTCTGTGGTACACTCACAGCCGTGAATAGCTCTGGTGTTTGTGTCCTGTGGGGTTGTGCGGGTGACCCTCTGTGTTTTGAGTGTTCTTTCACTCTGGTGTTCATGTTGTAAAATAAAATAAATCCATTACGTTACTACGTGGCGTTATTTTCTCATTCAAACATATTCAAGAGTTTAGTGATATAAAGCCCCGCCCCCCACAAGCCCCGCCTCCACCACCAGAGCCCCGCCCCACCACCACCAAGACCCCGCCCCCCACCAGGATCCCGCCCCCCACTAGGGTCCCGCCCCACCAAGGCCCCGCCCCCGTGCGGCAGGGGCCCCGCCCCCGCGTGAGCGGGCGTGGTGTACATGTAAGCTGTTGGGGGCGGGGCCTGACGCCGGGCTGCGCACGCGCAGAGTTTCAAATCTTAACGGTTCCAGTTCACGGCTGAGCCCGTGAGTGCGCATGCGCAGAATCCTCCCCTCCCGCCCGCGCGGTGCAGTGCAGTGCCGGTCACTCCGGCTGTGCCTCAGGCCATCTCGCGCGGGATCCGGTTTCAATGGCGCCCGCGAGCCCCGAGCGGCCGAGCGAGAGGGTGGCGCGGGCTTAGGTCATGAGAGTGCCCCGCCTGGCCTGGGCGCTGCTGTGCCGCAAGGCCGGCCTCCGCCTGTCACCTCGCAACGCACCGGGGCCCGGCCTGCGGCCTGGCGGAGCGCCGCGCGGCCCCGCTCTGCCCCGCGGCTACTCGGTGCCCAGCCCCCGCCCGTTCTTCATCACCACCCCCATCTTCTATGTGAACGCGGCTCCTCACATCGGCCACCTGTACTCGGCGGCGCTGGCAGACGCCCTGCACCGCTCCAGGCTGCTCGCCGGCTCCCACGCCAAGTTCGCCACAGGTGATGTACAGGAGGTGACGCTGCTCTCCGGGGAGGCCCTGACTTTGCTCACACCGTAACCCATCACCTGCTTAAAGCCTCCAAACCCGACTGAGAACTCCCGGCCTCCCATCTACACATGGGGATCCCGGAGATGGATTGCTGGAATGGACTGCGCTCCCCCCCCCCCCCCCCCAGAGGGACATATCCTATTTACCTAATTCGGGTAATTATTAGGTGTGGGTTGGCGGAGCCGAGGCTCGGTGACCCCGGAGTGTGTGTTGGGGTACCTGCTGGAGGCTGCCCAGCTCACACCACGAAGCGTGCCACCAGTAGCGCTGTGGCCAAGCTGTCCCGCTGCCTGTCCGGCGAGGACCACCCGATCTGTTAGGGGTTTGGCTGAAACGCAGAGTTCACAGAAATGATTTTGTAATGATATTTGCATTTGATACTACAATTATATCAAAGAGAGAACCTCCACCCTACCAAATAAAATTGGTCACTCACTCACTGTTTGTAGCTCAGTGGTTAGAGCACTCGCTTTGCAAGTGAGAGACCTGAGTTCAATTCCCGGCACAGGGCGAGACCTTGGGCAAGTTTCCTTACTCCACACAGAGCCTAATAATAATCCTCCAAAACCAAAAACAATAATAAATTGGTCATTTTCAATCTACGACTGTTTGTGGGACATTGTGTGCGCAATTGTCTGCCGCGTTCGCCCACAAATATACAGTCACTTCACTTTACAGTGTGTTCTGTGAAGCACTTTGGGACGTCCTCCCGACGTGAAAAGCGCTATATCAAATGCAAGGATTATTATTATATTGCTGTGCAAACTGTTTTTTGCCTGATTAAATTTGCTAAACTTCAAACTAACTCTTTTTGCAGCTCTTTAATCCTGGCCAACAACCTCCCCACCCCACCCCCCAAAAAAAATTGTTCACTCACTCTATGGCTGTTTGTTGTGCTCAGCTGGCAGTTTCAACCACAAAATACAGTCACTGAACTTTACAGTATGTCATGTGAAACGCTTTGAGACATCTCAACAATGGGATGAGACACTATATCAAATGCAAGGATTATTATTATTCCAGGTTACTTTTTTTTTGACTTGAGTATTGAACTGATAAATGTGCCATGTGATTTAGATGGTCGTTAAAAAATCCCATGTCCTTTATTTCAAAGAGAAGGCTTGCTGGATAATATCCCTCCCTCATACAAATTCAATTTCCAAAATTCAGATTAATTGGTTACTTATCTCAGTGCTGTTTGTGAATATTATTGATGCGAATTAGTTGCTGTTTGCCACAATATGCATTTCATCTCATTTTGTGGCTTGTTTTTAGATGTTCTTGTGGGAAAGAGCTTATATAAATGATAGTGTATAATGTAACTTATATTGATAATCGCATTCTTGAGAGGCCTCAAAGCTTCACAGAATATACTGGAAAGTAATTGTCTGTATTTTGTGGGCGAAGCGCGGCAGCCAATTGCGCACAGCAGATGTTTGAAATGGGTACATGTGAAAGACATGCTGTTTTACACCTTAACATGCCATAGTTTAAAAGCTTTGTAACAGACAAACTAAATTGTCTTTATAATATTGAAACTACAATTTTACTAAATAACAGTATACAGCGAAAATGCGTCAGTGGTAAATGACAACACAATAGCTTCATCTTTTCACTAGATGGCATCCTACTCCCATTCTGATTTGTGAGTTAGTACAGTATCTGACATACATTTAATGGGTACTGATGCCCATTCAGATGTTTAGAGTTGTAAACATTGGATATCAGTGAAATGCATCTTATTCTTGTGGAGTCTTGTGGAGTCCTGTAGCTCAGTGGTTAGAGCACTCGCTTTGCAAGTGAGAGACCTGGGTTCAATTCCAGGCAGAGGGCGAAACCTTGGGCAAGTTTCCTTACTCCACATAGAGCCTAATAATAATCCCTTCAAAAAACAAAAAACAATAATAAATTGGTCATTTTCAATCTACGACTGTTTGTGGGACATTGCTGTGCGCAATTGGCTGCCGCGTTCGCCCACAAATATACAGTCAATTCACTTTACAGTGTGTTCTGTGAAGCGCTTTGGGACGTCCTCCCGACGTGAAAAGCGCTATATCAAATGCAAGGATTATTATTATTATTATTATTATTCTGGATAGAAAGTGGTTTTCTTCAAGCAACCTACATTATCTGTGTTGCTGAAATGGGTAGTTTACAGCTGAAGTGTCCAACTGTTACTGCTGAAATAGTTGGATGTATTGTATGATTGATTGAAAAAGTATTGAATATGTGATGAGACCTTGTAAACTGTATTTAAGTATCTATCTCATTTCCGTTTAAAACAAGAATTTTGCAGGAAAGAATTGTACATTCCAAATTATCATGTATGTAAAGAAGAATTTTCTAACCTTCCCTTGTGTAAGTGAAAGCTGTAGCCAGAGGGAGGAGGGGGAGAAAATTTATTCAAAAACACTATTTTTATTTGTTAAGTGTCTATGTAAATTAAAATGTAAATATAGAAGAGAGAATGAGACAAGGAAAGATTGATATGCCAGAAAAATATGTTGAAAACATTTTTTTTTTAATTTTCACACCTTTTAGGAATATTAGAGCCAGTTATTCCTGGTGTTAGCACTGTTATTGTGACAGGGGCTTGTAGCTATGTTAAGTCCTGTTGGCTGTGATGTGATTGTAATGCTGCTCTGTGGGATCTCTTTAAGGTACGGATGAGCATGGCATGAAGATCCAGCAAGCTGCAGATGCTGAAGCCAAAGACCCACTGGATTTCTGCACTGAAGTGTCTGACAAATTTAGGACACTGTTCCAAAACTCCTCAATTGCATACACTGATTACATCCGAACCACAGAGGAGCGTCACAGAAAGGTCGTTGAGCAGTTTTGGTGTGTTTTGCGTGACAATGGCTACCTCTACAAAGGAACATATGAAGGATGGTATTCCACTCCAGACGAGACCTTCCTCTCAGACGCTCAGGTTGTAGAAAGTAGGGATTCAGATGGAAACAGTGTAAAGGTCTCATTAGAAAGTGGACACAAGGTAACTCTGATCCAGTCAGTGAACTTGGGGTATAATAAATAATTATCGTTGCATTTCATATAGTGCCTTATAACATTGTCAAGTGCTTCATAGGATATACTGTAAATTGTGACTCTGTGTGTTGTCGGCAAAGGCAGTAGCTAATTTGCACATAGCATTGTCCCACAAACAGCCATGAAGTGAATGCCCTATTTTATTTCGGAGATTTTTTTTTCAAAGGACATCTGACAATGCAATTTACCCTCAGCACTACACTGGAGTCAGCATAGACTATAATCCATACATGGAACTTGAATCCACAACCTTCTGACTCTTAGGAGTCAAGATGCTGTACTAACTGAACCAGGTTGGCACACAGGCCATGTAGCAAGATCATAATACAGGCGTGGCACCTAATGCGGGAGCGGCTGCTGTAATGATCTGGAATAATGAGCTCAGTTGTTCTGCTATCAGTGCGTTACAGCATTTGTGTTGCTTTTTTGAGTATTTTTCTGTAGGTTTGATTTCAGTGCTCATCAAGGTTGTAGGAAAATTAATCGGACATGAAAGGTGATATGCAAATGTACTTTGTTGTTGTTTGTCGCTCTCAGTGTTGTCAATGGATCACTTCCCAGATACTGTTGGTTAGCTACAATACAATACAAAATTACATTTGTAAGGCGTCTTTCACAGGAGGATGTCCCAAGGCGCTGAACAATCAGGGATTAGGACCCGACTGGGGAGGAATTGGGATCTTGGAGGGTGGCCGAAGGCACGGTTGAAGAGGAAGTTCTTGAGGTGTGCCTTGAAGGAGGCAAGGGCAGGAGTGAGGCAAAGGGAATGTGTGATGGAGTTCAGAGGGTGGGGGTAGAGAGGCTGAGGCCAGATGTAGAGTAAGGTGCCTTTCCTTCTGAAAAATGATTCAAATTCAACTTCAAGAGAACAATTGTTGCTGTACCAGTGTGCCATTTCTATTTTTCATCCAAACTTGTGACCTGTATGAATGAATACAGTTTAAGGTTTTCCACTGGCATGCTTCCTAGTAACTTGGATGTGACTCCCATGTACTTTATCACATGAATTCTTGGGTCTTGTAATTTTGAAGGAGTTCCAGAGATTCAGGTGCAGTGGCTGAAAGCACAGCAGTTGTCGGTATTACAGAGGGGTTGAGGGACATGCAAAAGGCCCAAGACAGCAGAGTGAAGGGGGTGAAGAGTGGGGTGTGAGCAGGTTGGAGAGATGGGGAGTTGCCAGGGCATGAAATGATTTGTGGCTGAGCGAGGATCTTGAAATCTATTTTGTGATAGGAGCCACTGGAGCTTAGCAAGGACTGAGGTATTGGGGGTGTGGAGTATGTACGGGTGAGGATTCAGATGGTGGAGGTTTGAATCAGTTGGATTTAGTGAATTGTGGAGCTTTGCAAGGAATGCATGAAATATAAATATACAGAATGCTGCCAAATAGGTGGATGTGTCAAATTGATATTTCCTATTTAAGGGCAGGTTCAACCTGCAGAGAGCTGTAACACAGGACTGACTGCCTATAATTATCACTGTGCTATAATTCACAACCATAATTAGCAAACTCCCAAATTTTAGTCTCTTCCGAGAATATACTATTGATCAGGATTATAGCTACAATTCTAATTTCAAATAGTTGTTAGACTTTACATCTGTAAAGCACTTTGGAGGGATGAAATGCAAATACTAAACAGCACCTTTTGTTTCTAACCAATAGGTTGAGTGGACTAAAGAGGACAATTATATGTTCAGACTGTCCAGTTTCAGACCCCTGCTGTTAGAGTGGCTGAAAAACAACCCACAAGTGATCTATCCAGAGAAGTTTTATCACATTGTTGTCCACTGGCTGCAGGATGAGATGCCAGATCTATCAGTTTCACGACAGAGGAACCGTTTGAAGTGGGGCATCCCAGTCCCTGGAGATTCGACACAGACCATTTATGTATGGTTAGATGCTTTAGTCAACTACCTTACTGTGGCTGGCTATCCACAGGACCACAGCTATTGGTGGCCTGCAGCTCATCACGTGGTTGGGAAGGACATCCTCAAGTTTCATGCCATATATTGGCCTGCTTTCCTGATGGCAGCTGGCCTGCATCTACCAAAACAGATCTATGTCCATTCACATTGGACAGTCAATGGTCAGAAAATGTCTAAAAGTCTTGGTAATGTTGTTGATCCCTTGGAACGATTTTCTGCATACACGGCTGATGGTTTCAGATATTTCTTGCTGCGGCAAGGCGTACCAGATACTGACTGTGACTACTATGATGACAAGGTGCTCAAAGTTTTAAATGCTGAACTAACGGATTCACTGGGAGGACTCCTTAACCGTTGCACAGGTACAAACATAAATCCTGACCAAATCTATTCCCGTTTTTCAAACCATTGTTTCCCTAAGAGGCACCATGAGCATCAAGTGGTTTGTCTTGGGAGAGCCACAACCGAAGACTACAAGTTGATTGAACTGGTTGAGCGGTTGCCTTTAGATGTCAAACGGCACTTTGACGAATTCCGCATTTATAAGGCTTTGGAGGCCATCAATTTGTGTGTGCGTCTAACCAACGCCTTTTTCCACCGCCATGCTCCCTGGAAACTTGACCGGGAGAATGCTGCCGATAGGAGCTGGCTGGAAACTATTCTTCACGTCACATTGGAGTGCCTGCGTGTTTATGGAATCCTGTTGCAGCCAGTCGTGCCAACCATCGCTGACAAGTTGCTTTCACGACTTGCAGTCAACCTGCACGAGCGAGACTGGCGATGGTTGAATTTTTTAGCTAGATATCACAACAATGAGTGCCTGTTTGAAGGAAGAAAGCTGGGAACTGACACTGGGCTCCTGTTTAACAGGTTAGAAAGAACTAACACAGCAGATAGGAAGACTCAAAGAAACGCCAGAAAAAGATCAAGTCATAAATAACTTAAATATACGTTGAGACTTTCATTCCCTTAATTATCTTAAGCAGTGATGCTTAGAATTTATTTAATGTGATCTTTGTAAGTAATAAAACCATTGTTTTATACTTTTTTGAACTGATGATTTCTCTGGATGTTGATACCTCTTTATCTTGGTGTTTATTATCTTTGAAATAATGTGAAATCATTATAATTAATTAATCTGTTTAGTTATGCATGAGGGTGATCGGCTCACGATCGGGAGAGGACATGAGCTGCAGAGTTCTGAATAATCTGCAATTTGTGGAGGGAAGAGTTGGGAAGTTCGGTGAGCGGGGTTAAGCCTGGACACAATGAAAGTGTGGATGAGGGTCACAGCGGCCTGACGGGAAAGATAGTGGTGTAGGCAGACAATGTTGCGGAGGTGGGGGGAGGCAGAACGGGTAATTGCACGGATGTGGGGTTTGAAGGACAATTGAGGGTCGAACAAGACACCAAGCTACTGTACTGTCTCAGTGAGGTGGAGATTGCATCCATGAACTGATGCTTTCAGCATCTGAGGTGAGGAGGCGTCAACTGGAGCCAAGCAGGAGGGCCTTGGTCTTTTCGACATTCAGCTAGGAAATTGGCTCTCATCCAGGATTGATGTCTGACAGACAATCCACCAGGACAGCAGTCGTCCTGGTGTTCATCTTCATATGTGGAAGTTGATCCATCAGTCATCAAAACAACATCAGAAACTGAATCAGAGCGTTGAACGAGATTACTTGTTTGCATCTTTAAATGCATAAGGATTTCTCTTTCAATTAGTTTGTGTAACTGCAAGAGCTCAAGGGATTGGTTTGGTTTGTTTCCAGCTGCAGGTCAATGATATTCTTGGCCCTTCCTATGTTTTGAATTACAGGATAAAGTTCCTGAATTGTAATGAGTACACCTTTACAGTTACAATCTCAAAATACAATATGTACAAATAAGCCTGATTATTATCCCTGCAAAAGTGATCCACTAATTGACTCACGACTGGGTTCCTATTTATTGCTAGGTAAACACAGGTGTGTGGAGTAAGGAAATGTTTTGTCTTGCCCAGGAATCGAAACCAGGTTCTCTTGCTTGCGAGCGAGTGCTCTAACTGCTCTAACCACTAAGTTGTTAGATACACTTATCCAATTCTGTTGTGTCATTTTCCCAAGTCATGTGGCTTTTCTTAGATAATAGAAGGTGTAGAGCTAGCGATTATGAGCTTTTAATGTTTTTTTTGTCTGACCCACCGTTCCTGTCCTGTGACAACATACCAGAAGCTTTAACAATCTTTCTTTCGGTTGCTAGTTGACTTTTGTGTATGCACACTCCAACGTACTGATTGGCTCCCGTCAGTGCCTCCACACCTCAGGCGCTGACAGCATCGCATCCAAGATTGCACACTCCACCTTACTAAGCCAGTCCGGACCTTTGACATCTTGTTTGACCCTCAACTATCCTTTCTACACCGCATCTGTGCCATGACTCTGCCTTACTCCACCTATGCAACACAACATCGCCCGGCTCTGCCACTGTCTCGCACCGCAGGCTGCCGAAACCCTCATACAGGCATTCATAACATCCAGGCTCGACTACGCAAACTCCCTGCTTGTCGGCCTCCCCAACTTCTCCCTCTGGAGGCTACAGATCATCCAGAACTCTGCAGCCCTCATCCTCGCGACTCCACTGGCTTCCCATCACACAGAGGATAATAATAATATCCTTGCATTTGATATAGCGCTTTTTACGTCTTCTAGACGTCTCAAAGCGCTTCACAGAATAGGCTGTAAAGTGAATTGACTATATTTGTGAGAGAAATGTGGCAGCCAATTGCGCACAGCAGTGTCCCGCAAACAGTCGTGAATTGAAATCCAATTTATTGTTTTTATTGAGGGATTATTATCAGGCGTGTGGAGTAAGAAAATTTGCCCAAGGTTTCACCCTGCCAGGTACAGTTCAAGATCCTAGTCCTCACCTTCAAAGCCGTCCATGACCTTGCTCCCCCTACCCCTGTGACCTCATAACTTACTACCAACGTGCCCGCTTCCTCCACTCAGCGGGCTCCGGCCTGCTTCACGTCCCCCGCCTCGTCCACCCCACCACTGGCGAATGGGCTTTCAGCCACTTTGCTCCCACCCTCTGGAACTCCATCCCATAGTCCCTCCACCTCACCCCCTCCCTTGTCTCCTTCAAGATCGGTCTCAAGACCCCCCTCTTCGACCGAGGCTTCGGACACTCTCCTCCCCCGCCCTCCATCCTCCCTGATCCCAACCCTCAGCTCTGGTCAGAAGCACTGACTGTCCAGGGCCTTGGGACGTCCTCTCAACGTGAAAGGCGCTATGCAAACGTAATCTTCCAAGAATTCTTGTTTTTATTTGACTAGCTCTGCAGTGGGTTGACACAACATTTCATCTTTACCTATACTCATCTGGGAGGATTCCTGTGGGAGGACTCATTTTGGCCGTGTTCTTTGACCATAGAGACATGATTTATACCTCATCGGAAAGGTCTTGTGCCTGTGAGTAACATGGGCATATTTATTTTCAGGTATTTCCAACTCATTTTGGTGCACTGTTGCAGTCCTTTCAAACCCACACTGTTCTTTTGTTCTTCAGTTTCATTTAATGGGCTTCCCTCTCTTGTCTGGCATTTTTATCCTTGAAAGGTTTTTGCTTTCTATCTCTGCTGGCTTTCCAATGCTGTTCTAATATACTGTTTATAAGTGTGATTAATAGATATTAGGGAAGTTAGGGTTTTAAGAGACATGGAGAGAAAGCAGGGGAATAATAATAATCATCTTTGCATTTGATGCGGGAGGACACCTCACAGCACACCATAGGATTTACTGTACATTATAGGACTGTACAGTATTTGTAAGCAAATGCAGCAGCCAATTTGTGCACAGAAATATCCCACAAATAGCCATTAAGTGAATGACAAAAAAAAAAAATTCTGGGTGATTGTTGTTCAGGACACCAAGAGAAAATCCTTAATGTTTCATCTTAAAGATTTGCACCTCCAACAATGTAGCACTCCTCCGACTCAGTATTGGAGGGTCAGCCGAGACTGTGACTTCAAAGGCCTGATGTGGTACAACTTTCTGACTCAGAGGCGAGAGCACTTCCAACTGAGCCAGGCTGACACTCAGTGAGATTAGAAAAATAAACTAATAAAGTGGCAGAGCAAACTCACAATCCTTATTCCAGGAAACAAAAATGGGAAAGCTGGGGCAGTAACCTTACTTTATGACTGGAAATTAGATTTGAGAGAGTGCACCGACATATACAATCAACTCAACTACTGGTACATCATTGAATCAGTGGATGGTGACAGAATTTTTTCCCCAGAGTTTTTTCCCTAACGTGCTTGTATTTAAAAGGCAGTAATGGCTCTTGTGCTGTGTTGGTTAAAATCCCGCTTGTGTTCTCCCTGGCTGTGTTCCTGCCTTCTGGCCATTACTGGTCTCATTTTGCTGACGTGCTTAAATTACCTATTCCTCTGCAGGACAAGCATGGGCTGTGATGATTTATTGCTCTTGCATGAAAGATGCAAAGCAGATGGAGCTGGGTTACTTAAATCGTGTATTCCGTAAGAGTTAATTATAGAAATCCTTAAGTGATTTAATCATTTTAATTAAAAAATTACCAGGCACCAAATTTTGCTTATGAATGCTATTGTTCAGTCTGTGAACTTAAGACGAGTTAAAATTATTTGAGTTTTATATGTAATATACTAAGTGGGTGTATTAATTTAGATTTTATTAATAGTTTTCAGCTTTACACTAATTTATATGTTAAATGGTTATATTCTGCTTCAGGTATTAAAGAGCATACGTTTGTAGAATTGCTATGGTTTAATACATTTTGCTCATCACAATTCAGAGGGAACAACAATAATAAAATAATAATACTTGCATTTGATATAGCACTTTATCACATCTTCTAGTGAAGATCTCTTGGTATCTTTATCAAGATATTCATGGGTGTATTTTCCTGTTCTGAAAGTGGTGAATTATTTTCCAATGCTGTTCCATGACTAAGAATTATAATCTATTTAAAATCAACAAATAATACACAATGTTGAATGTTCTTTGATTCTTCTTTGAGACATTGTGCTTATTGGCTCTGACCAGACTGTAATGCATTCTGAGTACTTCACAGCATTGGTCAGATCTCCAGTATCCCAACTGGGTGCTGAACCCATCAGGGCACCTGTTTCTGATGTAATAATGACCTTGTGGAACGACCATCCTGGAATGTGACTTTCATATCATCTGTAACATCAAAGCTCCTCATATCATCCCATCATCTGGCATTAAGATCATCTAATTGTTTGGCAGCCATGTTAATTCTAACCAATGGGTCAGCATTGTTGTCTCCTCTGTTTCATCAATGTCACCTCACAAGATACTCCAAATTCTGCTTATTAGTGGTGAGGAAAGTTACAGTCAAAATTGATGGAACACGTGGAGGTGCCTGGAGCAATTCAATGTTAAAATGAATAATGATAATAGGAAAACAAAATTACAAATGGCATCTTCAACTGACTGCCAACTCAAGGTGACCATGTTGATGGTGAGAAGTTAGTCAAGTAATAGAAGTTGGCAGAGAAATCAGAATGTAATTGTGGAGCAATTTCAATATTCCAAAAGTAAAGTGAACAAGACAGACCAAGGACAATTGATGTGAAAGCACAAGCAAGGCTTCCAACAAAACCTAAAACTGCGTATTAGGGCAGAAGGTATATGAAGTTTATTAATAGCTGGTTGAGAAGTTTGGAAGAAGTCACCATTTGATCAGTAAATGGCTAAAGTTATCCCAATATCCCAATATTTTTTCAGAAATTGTTTTTGTCCCATAATAGAAGCTTGATCCAGGTTTGGGGAGCTCACTAGGTTTGCCCAGTGGGAAGCTCGCAGGGAGTTCCTGGTGTCTATCATCCACCCGGTGAGGGCTCAAATCTGAACTTGTTGGATGTCGGATGACTACCCTGGAGTCCTGTAGCTCAGAAGTTAGACCACTTGCCCGGCAAGCGAGAGACCTGGGTTCGATTCCTGGCAGGGCAAAATGTAGGACAAGTTTCCTTACTCCACGCGCCTCTGTTTAGCTGC